GTACCTGACCATAACAGCTACAGTAGTAGAACAGTTTACCATCAGCTGGGTTTATTTGAGACGATAGCAGATAAAGCTGTGCATGGTCTGTTGTACATGAGACACCAACAATCTTTTTACCCTGCAATGAAAAACAAAGTTGAACTATATGACTGAGAATTAAGGGAGTAAAACAATTAACTGCTGCTGTTTATTGATGTACTGATCTATCTCTTATTTTGGAGACTTTAATTCCAGGATATAAATGTTAACATATCCATCTAACCTCTGATAAAAAGGACTTACATACATACTGTACAATTATTGGCGTACACGTCATATAACGTGAAAGAGCCAGGTTTTTATCTCGTAATTCAAAATAGTCTGACAAACATCTCTACAACATTCAGGGGTAAATTACAAAGAGCATATAGTCATGAATCTCTTCTTTTGAGTATACTTACACTTGGTTCCTCAAGGAGCACTTTAGCTGGGTTCGATAAATTGTTGCTGTTGATTACATCTTGGGTTGCAGTCGAATCCTTAGTCTTGTGTTCACACAGGGAGAAGTTACCAGTTCCTTTGGGACCCTGTGGTCCTGGTGCTCCTTGTGATCCATTGAAACCCTGCGGGCCTATCATCCCCTGGGGACCCTGTGTACCATTGAATCCCCGAGGTCCGGCTAATCCAATGGGTCCTTGAGAGCCGTTGAAACCGCGTGGTCCAATAGGGCCCTGGAGCTTACTCACATTCTCTATCTGCAACATCGTTAATAAGCAAAAATTTATGTGCCTGCCAATTTTACATCTGTGCATTATAATACCCACACGCACACTAAATAAACAAGATGCCATAAATATCAAATAAAGCAATTGCCACTAACCCTCGCGGTCAAAGTTGAGTTTTGAGCTTTCAAAGATTTCTGCAACTCAGTGTCTGCATCCTCTAGAAAAGTTCTCGTTGTGTTAAGATCTGTTCTTAATACCTGGAAATCTGTTGTTATCTGTGAAGAAAAAAACCCTACCTGAATAAAATGATTTTAAAGAGGTGATCGAACTTGAACTTTTGAACTTTATTTTTTATTTAGACATGGTAAATCTATCAGATAAAATAGTAATATTATTACAATCTATTATTACAATTACAATCTACTTTAATCTATGTAAACATGATCTAAAATTTAAAAGTGAAATAGAAAAAAATAAAGAAATTCTGCTTTACATAGATGCCGTGTGCGTTTTGTCGATTCAGACGAAGAAATTGCGACAACCATTTCGAAAAGATTGAAGTGATTTTGCTTGCAATATGTACACCCAGAGATTTGACTGAGCTAACTTGTTTAATTATGTCACCACCTATGATTAGTTTAGGGGAAGTATCGTAGGTACCTATCCTTTGCCGCGATCCAATTAACATGAATTCAGTTTTAGATGAATTTAGAGTCAATTTGTTTGCAGTGAGCCATGTGTTAACATTGGATAGGTCGTGATTCATAACATCATTGATCATTTCTATGTTGTTACTGGCAAAGGTCAGGTGAGTATCGTCGGCATACATACGTGCAACTGAATTAGACAGGCAATTAGGAAGATCATTTATGTATAGAACAAAAAGCAAAGGTCCTAGAATTGTTCCTTGCGGAATTCCACAAGTGAGAACTTGACTAATTGAGAGCGAACCATTTACAAAACATTGTTGATGGCGATTATCTAGGTATGAGCTAAACCATTCATAAGCGATACCGCGGATACCATATTCGAATAATTTAGACATAAGAATTGTATGGTCAACGGTATCAAAAGCCTTTTTTAGGTCGAGAAAAACAACTGCATTTATACTGCCTTTATCAATGTTGAAGGCCCAATTGTTTGTGGCCTCCAACAAGGCAGTAACAGTTGAATGGAGCGAACGAAAACCAGATTGCTGGCTGGAAATCAAATTGTTTTCAGTGAGATAACCGCAAACCTGGTCGTAAGTGATACGCTCAAACACCTTAGCTACTATAGGGACGATAAAAATTGGGCGATAATTGTTTAAGTCGGAGTGATCTCCATACATGCGAAACGCTCAGCTTTTGACGACTATGTTGAAATTGGAAGGCTTCGTATAAGTAATAAGTGTAATAAATACCTTCAAAACTAGGGTGGTGTTAAGCACTCCAAGTTCATTTCTTATGTCGTGGTCAGAGGCTGTTAGCTGGTTTCGTGTCAAGTTAAGATCGTCGTTTACTGAATCTATCTGAAAATTAAAAAAAATTTAATGGTTAATGGAGATGAGTGCAGACTTGTTGCATTGTTGACAATATTCTAGTCTCCAAATGTGAGAATGATCTTCGTAAGCGTGCTATAATTTAAGCAAGTACAAAAAGGAAGCCTTATAAAATGAAGGCTTCGACAGGATTCGAACCTGGGCCTCCAAGATATTAGTTAGGTACTACTTGAATTAATTCACTGACGTATGGTGTATCCGTGTTGGATCCATCTCGATTAATCTACTCACTCTTATAAAATCTAACATTATCCTGGTACATCGGGAAAACACCTGTCTAGATTAATCTAGTATTTACTCTATCCGCGGATATATGGCTTCTGCTTTGCTTGTACTTATCATTACATGCCAGAAGACACTACTTCATACCTTCGTGTATTACATAGACCAATCCAGAATAGTTAATAGAGACACTGAGGTTTACAGTATAAGCGAGGCTAAAACTCGATTTTTCCTCATATTATCATTATCAATTTTGACACAAGGAAGGGGATACGCTGGGAAGGAAAAAAATCTGGAATATAATGGACCTAAAACTAGTTTACCTTGTCATTCAGGATTCGACTTGAATTTTCAATGGTATATTGTAGCCTCTGTTCCGAATCAAAAATCTATAAAATCGTACACATGCAAAATATAGCAAGCGATAAGTGTTTTGATAGTTGCTCGGAATTATAAATATGCTTGGTTGTATACTGAAATGTTACTTTATCGCTGTATCAGTACCGACAGAAAACGACATACGAAAAAGGTCCTTGTAAGAGGTTAGATGTGCGTTTATCTTTATCATATCGGATATAAATAAGTTTCACTTGTTGGGAGCCCTCTTCAGTAAGTAGAGTGCCAATGCGAAGACCTCTGTGGAGAGTATGATGTTGTCTATTTCGCATTTTGAGACGAAAGCACAAACCTTTGTGGTTAGATTTACACTTGTTTTCGACAAAGAGGAAGCTAAGTCTTGGTCGCTCATCTGAAGCTGAATTTCTGTCATGTTGAGCTACAGTTGAGGAAGTAATACATAATATAATGCATCGTCACAATTTTAAGGAGAGCCTAGTAAGCTTGGACCATATGAAGCTCGGTGCTAAACAAACAAACGCAGATTAAAATTGAAGAGCTAAGAAAAAATTAGAACATAGCTAGCAGAACCGCGCAATCAAATTCAATATACAGAAGCGTGCTCAAAATCCCGATAGTGCACGCTGATAGCGTCAGCAAATCGCTTCGCCAGAAATTTTTTTTTT